CGGCGATTTTTGCGATATTTCGACGAAATTTGGTACGTTGACGTGTTTTAGTCCATGGACGAAAGTCATTGAAAATGGTTTAGATCGGATCACCTTTTCGACCATTCGCCTTATAAAGAGCCATTTTAAAAAGCCATTACATGAAATTGCAATAATGTTTTTTCTTGTTCTTTTTTTTTGGATTTTTAAATAAATTTTTATTAGTATATGCTTTTTTATATATTTTTATTTTTCTCATTTCCTTTTTTTTTTTTTTTTTTTTTTGTTAAATTTTCTATTTTGCCTTTGCTTATATGAGTTTGTTAAACATTTACATTGAGTTCTAAGCTTTTTTTCTTTTTATGAATTTTTATGTTTTTTTTTCAATTTTTATAAAGCCTTAAATGGATTTTAATAAGCATTTGTTTTATATAATTTTTTTTACTTTTTAAATAAATTTTCATTTTTGTTTTTTTTTGTTTTCTAATAATTCTTTTTAATACTGTTTTGTAGTATTTTGCTATTTTAAATAATGGTTTTTACATTTCATTTGTAAATGCAATGTGTTTGTCAATATCCACCACCACCACCACGGCCAAATTGTATATATATATATATATATTAACGTTATTCTCTCTTATTACGAATAAGAATTGAAATGGGTTCATAATTTTGTTTAGCCTTTTAGTTGGCTCTTCATATGAAAAAGGTATTTCTTAGTTATCTTCTTTTAACCTTCGAGATCGAGGTGATACACTTCTTCTGCCTGCTTGCTATCAGCGATATTTCTTTTAATTTCATTTTGTCTTAATAAAGATTTGCCAAAAATTCATCATCGAGGAATGGAATCGATCTTATTATAGATTGGGAAAAAAAAAATCGAATAATGGCTTTTCGATGAGCAATCGACTGAAAGTGTCACTCTCTCATTAAATCAATTTGGCGTCCTAACTGTCGATAAACTAAACACTTTCCTTATTAGCGAATAATAAAGCTTTTGATGGTAAAAATGCTCTCGAACAACATTCTACAACTTACGATCAAATTTATTCGATCTAGCGAACCATTCTCTCATTGGCATGATTCGTTACAAATTAAGGATGCCTCACGGGAGTGGGTTCCATGTTATGGCTCCTTAATAAAAATCTTTTTAACGCTTTTTTCTATCAAAAATCGCCCTTTTTTTTAGGCTTCTACAGTGGTCCTTGCCCCTTACGCTTAGACGAGTTGATATGTTAAAAAAATTCATTCATTCTTTTTTATTACATAAGCTATGCTATGTGAACTTGACATTAACGTATTTCTTTTGTATATCAATCAATGAATTGGAATTAATTAAAAATAAATAGATTAATGAAATTAAAAATTTTTTTTTATTTCTTTAAAATATTTAAGAAATTATTTTTAAGCACAATAAATATTTAAAACACTTATAACCGTAGAAGTACACAATCTTTCCATTTAATTACAAAAATACTTTATAATTAAAAATTAATTTAAACGTAAACTTACATATTTATATACAAATTTTCGAAGAAGATTTAAGAAGATTCCAAAAATCAATAATAGTTTTTAATTTTTCAAGGATAGCTTAAATTAATAAACAAAAAAAAAAAAAAAAAAACTTGAGAAATATCTAAACTTAAACGATATCACATATAAGAGAAATACGTTTCGTGAGTCAGAAGTTTAAAAAGTTATTGGAAATTCTTAAAAAAAAAAAAAACAAACTAAGACAATTATATTGCGTTGTGACCGAATCTTTTATACCCATCACCGTTATCCTAAGGAAGATAAAAAAAAAAAAATAAATAAATTTTCATCCTCAATAATATGGAGTGGGCGCGGCTGACAGTCATGTGGGCGCGGCGAAAAGTTTAAGTCGCTTCCAAATTCTTCTGCGATATCTTCATTTTCGCTAAAGCAAAAATGTTTATCACAAATACTACGCAGTTGTGCGGATTGTCACATGGACAGATGGAAAAAACGAACCTGTTTAGGTGCATTCTAAATTTGATACTGACCAAAAACTGATATACTTTTTAGGCGTCTTTTGAAGTTTGTTTCTGCAGCTTATAAAGGTATTAGGAAAAAAAATCAAAGCTTGATACATTGTAATATTGGGTGAGGGTAGTCCATTTTTTCCATTTTTGTACAGGTACTACAGTATTGTCCATAGTATATATGTTTAAATTTTTGTGCAGTTATTTGCCACAGAGTATGAGTAATGAGCAAGAAACCAGTTTTTATTCTTTTTGAAAAACAAAAGTGTTTTCAATTTACGTGACGCTGTAAGCGTGACCTTCGACCGATTTGACCCATTTTTAATAATAACGTGCGTACAAGAACTTCCAAAGTTTCTATCATATTTGAAGTTAATAGCTTAATTACACAAACCGACAAACACCACAGACAAACAGTCGGATATGTTTAAATTGATTTAGAGTTCGATGCTGATCACGATATATATATATATATTTGGTAGGGTCGCTGATGCTTTCTTTTGAACGTTGCAAATGTTTTGACATGATCCTTCGGTGATGAGTACAACACGAAGAGATTTTAAGTAGTTAATTGTTTTCCATTTTTTCAAAAATTATTCATCAAAGTTCAATACAATTAATCATCAATTTAAAGTAAGGTTGTAAAGTTAGGTTAAGATACGATGAAGCAATTTTATGAAAGAATTTTTCGTTACAATGTTTATACCCACCACCATCAGATAAATAATATTTCTTGCTTAGAATCAAAAAAAAAAAAAAAACTCGCGACCATTAACGTGATTTTACATCATTTCAAGTTCTGTTCTCCATTGCCGCTGACGTGAAGTCACGTCGTTAAATTTCTGTTCTCTTTTTGAACGTGACAACATAAGGCGTTTTTCACAGTCGCTGTTGAGGGACACGCTGAGATAATTGTTTTCTTTTTTTTAAGAGCTGAAGATATGCATACTAAGTGAAACGATTTCCTTTGCTCGTATTTTTTATAGTGTACAAGAATGGAATCGCTTTTGAGTTTGTGTGGATGTATGCAATATACAAAAAGGATTGAGATATACCGATCAATTTAGGAAGCTTATCTGTCCGTCTGTCCATTTTGTTTTTTTTTAAAGCCATAAATTTTGGGGTATTTTGATGAAATTCGATACCCTGATCTGTTTCGACTCAAGCAGCACAAATGTTGAAAATGATTCGGATTATGTCATTTTTTTAACCATATCCCATACAAAGATTTATTTTGAAAAATCGTTGCCCGAGGAACTCTATTAAACGAAGTGGGGTAGGGTATGTAATTGTTGGCTGCGGTTGCTCCTGCAAAAATCTGTACGTAACAGATATTGTCTTTCGGGCTTAGTGTGCCTAGTTCGGGTTTTCGTACTTGCTTCAAAAAATAGATCGTGGTTTAAGAATTAATTTTTTATACTCTACATCAAGGTGTAAAGTGCAAGGGTATACGAAATTTGTGCGTATGATGCAACGCCCAGTAGTACGTAACATAGACTCATCTTTTATTACACCAATCGATACAGAAAGTGATTCTACGCTGCTCTCTCCCTCTTTTCGTCTTGTATTCTTGTCCTCAAACTACCACTTGTGCGATATTTCGATCAAATTTGGTACCCTGACCTTTTGGCCCACCTTTTTTTTATTAGAAAACTTATTTTGAAAAGTCTTTATATGAAAAAGTGCATTAATTGAAATGCTATTGGGTATTTAATGCAGGCCTGGGTTCCACTATAGTGTTTTGTTCCAAATTTTTTTAACTTTTATCTTTGACATAACGCTACAAGGTTGTGGCTATCAATTCCAGAATTTCATTATTTTTTTCCGCTAGGGAGTATTGGAAACGGAGAAAATTAATAAGAATTATTGTGAACGAAAGGTATAATAAACTAAGTGGAAATTTCGGCAAACTTTAGCTTGTCACCCAAGAATCTAATCAAGCCTGGAAAAGAGCTGTAAACGCCTTCAATAAACTCACAGACATCTTTTGTCGATTATTAGGATCTGTTATTTTCCTAAAAACATTCCGACGATGAAAAAGTTAAGTCAAATATATTCAAATCATAAAAAAAAAGGAAAATTTAGATCGTTATCCGTTCTTAGTCGAGTAGATCTGTGCTTGAAATTTGTTTCACTTCTTTTATTAATTTCTATCTCTTTCTCTCTCTTGTCATCTCGTTCTTTTTGGCTCTCTTCCCTTGTCTCTCTCTCATTCTCTCTTCCCCTCTCGTTCCTTTCCTCCCTCTCTCATTCTTGTGATTTTTTCTTTCTCTCTCCTTCTCTTTCTCCATCTCGTTCTTTCTCGCTCTCTTCCTCATTTTCTTTCTCCCTCTTGTTTTTTATCTCTCTCTCTCTCTTTCTCTCTCTCTCTCTTTCTCTCTCTCTCTCTCTCTCTATCTGTCTATCTCTCTTAAATCCCTCTCTCTCTCTCAAGCCTGCCCATGTTAAACAGCTCTAAAGTTTGAATAATTTTCTCAATTTAAGTTGAACATTAATAGTTAATATATTCAAAGTAGGAATCACCTTATTGCAACTCTAAAATATAGTTGTTTTTTTTTTTAACTTTTCGAGAAAGACTTAAAGTCATTGTATAAGATTACATTCAACCAATCCGGCCTATAGAACTTTAATAATTAAAAAATTAAAAAAAGCTTGTTCTTTTTCTGTGCCTACTTAGGTGGTGGATAGCCAAGGTTCTCTCTTTAAGAAGAGTAAAGGGATACGTAGCAGCTTTTTGTTTCTTTTGCTTTTTCGCTCTTTTAAGATTCTCTTTAGTGTTTGTGCGAATTGCGGAATTTAAGCAGTTCATAGTAATATTTAAGCTCAGCTCTTTTCTTATTTTTATGCGTTTGTTTTTGTTTTTCTTTCTTTTGTAGGGCAGTTGAAAAAAAAAAGAATCGCCCTTTAATAGAAATTGCGTAAGAATTTTGCTAAAAATCAAAACCGTTAGCTTGTACCACTCCATTGCTCAGTATTTATTGCTGCTTGTTGTCTTTGCTCTTCATCTTCTTTAATTGCAATAACTGTCATAGAAGTCAAAGTTTTGCTCTCGATATTTTCTGCCTTCTTTATCTCTTCTTCTCTGTCAGTTGTTGATGTTGTTGTTGGAGCAATTGTTACCTTTAAATGATGCATGGGTTTTAAAGATTTCAGCTGAGTGGTACCGTTGAATTTTACGTTAACCTCACCCACCACACCCAGAGGGTGCATTGATGCTTGTTCCGTGTTAAGATCATTTGGTTCTAACGTATCGGGACTTTTTGCCTTATTAGGCATGTCGTTCAAATTATTCGAGTTAAGTTGTTGAGACCGAGCCGTGTCGATCATTTGTGAGCGTGCGGCTAAAGGTGATAATATTGTTGGTGTCGTCTTATAGCCCATACGACTGAATAGACTGCCAGCGCTGCTTTGACTGAAATTACTACTGGTACTGGGTGGACTGAGAGGGGTACCGACACCACTGTCCACCTCAATGGGACTCTTAATGTTGGCTATAAAACGATCTACTTGCTCCGGTAATTTTAAATCGTCCAAGCGTGCAGGCATTTCGTGAAGGCTTGTCATCGCTCGGCTATCGTATAAGGTTTGAGGTCTTTGCTGTGGTGAATTACAGCCGCTAGGTGATGATGATAACTCATTATTGCCATTGCTACTATGATTATCGTAGCGAGCCAAGCGTTGTTGACGTAACTGCTCGTATGTGTGCTCAAAAAAAGGTATCTTCTCCTTCTTGGGCTTTTGTGGCGAACCATGTTCGTCTCTTTCGTTCAACTCTTCGAGTACTTTGAGTGGAAACCCCAAATGACTATTCACCGATGCCGATTTACCAATTTTACGTTCAGTAAAGAATGGTTTGCGTTTTTGTTTCTCCAAATCTTCTAAATGCTGTAGAATACGCCTCACTTCGCTAGGTACGTCTAGATCGGTATTTTGTTCACTTAATTGCGTTACATATCGACCCAATGTTTGTATAGTCAATTCAAGGCTTTGTACTTGAGATTGTAGATTAGTTATGTGCGTTTGTTGAGAGTTCCGCGTCTTCTCCAATTGAGCTATAGACGATTGAGCAAACTGTGAAGATGGAAAAATAAAGAATATAACATTAATGAGAATACGAGTGTAGACGCGACTAGACATCTTCTTTTGGAGCCACTTAGACTCTCATCGATACTGGATGGCTGATAAAGGCTTCTTTTTTTTAAACGTATTCTATACTACAGTAAACACAAGGAAGGGAAGAAGCAAGGGAAGAGAAATAGATTGCGGCCTGGCCTGGGACGCATACGACCGATAGGTGAGTGTTATGCCTTTAAAGATTAACTAATTCATTACAGCTACGGCTACACATCCATTTGAACTTGCGTACGCATTTCCTATATCCTAGTGAAAGGCATAGCCAACTAACATGTAACGGCCCTTTCATTCACTTAAGTGTTTCTTCGAATTATATGGTTAAAGTTTTTATATCCTAGTGGAAGGCACAGTCGATTAACCTGATTTGATTTACTTAAGTATTACTTAGCTTAGCGTATATCTCACTTCTCTTTTCATAGCTAACCATACTCTTAAGTGTTAAGGCATGTAAAGTATGAAAAAGTATGTTTTCTTACAATTTAAAGAATAAGAAATATTTGTTTTCTCTCACTTATGACCCCCATACGCTGTTAAGATATATTGTTCCAAAAGCATAAATCATTCCTTAACTTTTAGTTCTTTTGTGTTCCCATGAGATTTGTGCACTTACCTGTAATTGCTGTTCAAGATGTTGATTTTTCGATTTCTCTTGTTTCAACATTTCCAAATGATGATTAGTTGTGGTTATCTCCTCTTGCAGTACATTATATTCTACGTTATATTCCATCAATTGTTTGGTAATATCCAGAGAAAAGACCTAATTACATGCAGCTCATTATTAAATTGTTATTCATTTAAAAGTTCATTATACCCTATGCCACTTGTGGTACATTGCGAATGTGAGGATGTGTGCGACACTGAGAAGTATTTAAGATAGGCCCACCTTTCATTATACAAATCGTTTCAGAAAGCTGGTCTGTCCGGTTGTCCATCTTGTTTTTTTTTTTTTTAGTTCAATCTACAAGTCGTATATGATACCCTATTCTGATTCCATCTAAGCTTGTCTAAGCTTGCATCCGCAAGACGAAAGTTCTTGAGATACGTTCGTGAAATTTTGGCTCACGAACATTTTTTGCCACAAAGGTGAACACAATTGACAATGATGCGGATCGGACTACTTTTTGATCACTTTCCATATAACGCGACCATTTTGTTAAGCCATTACATGCATGCAACTGTACACAGGGAAGTGGTATAAGGTATTTAATGTCTTTTTCCATTTGTTTTATGCAAAAAAAAAAAGCTAACCATTTTTGTTATTTTTTCCATTGCATTGCTATCCATTTTGGGGACTATACTTTTGAGATAATCCATAATCTCTTCGAAATTGTCACGTAATAATAATTGATTTTTGTGTACAGTTAGCAGAGCTAAAGCGAATTTAAAGATGACCTCCGAAGATTCGAGGAATAATAAATCAAATACACGTGCAACAAAACCCAAAGGAAATTGTGAACTGAAGACAGTTAAAATCCAGGGTGCCGCATAAAGAGTGGGTGAGACATCGTTCTGATCAAGCCATATATATAAATCGGGTAAATGATCTTTAACCAAACGTGACAATTGATAAAGTTGCAATTGGAACTTTTTCATATCCGGTAAATATTTGCAACGCATTTGACGATGAAACATTAAATGTTTTAACAGATGAAAAGCTTCAGCTTCGTCACACTAAAATCATTTAAAATTCATAAAAAATTATATAATTTTTTTTATTTTTTTTTATTAATTCAATTACATGCGTCATGCACTTACATGTAGTAATAGTATACCACAGATGAAACCCAAACCTTGGCAATAACCTAATTCTGGATCTAATATGGAATAAGCCTTCAGCAAATTGAATAAAGAGAGTTGACCTAAACCCAACGGATCCTTGTAGAATTTATGATTGGGAAATGTGCGACCCAAGTCAATGAATATTGCATGCTGATGCTCGGTGAGATTTTTCAATAAAGCTTGGTACGGTGTATGGAAATTGGGAAATCTATGTGTATCTATTGGCGGGGCAGAGTTCGTGGTATATTGCTCAGCTAAAAATAGCCAAACATCGCCACGTTTCGTACGTGGTACGCCCGTCTTAATTGCTTGGGCCAATATTTTCGGATCTCGTTTATTACCCACTTTCAGAGCGTCACGTTCTATATAAGAATCCCAACGTTCAATTAACTGCTTGTCGCAAATTACGATTTCATCGTAGTCCAATTTCATTCGCTTCAATTCGTTTTCATTTTGGCGCGCTTGCAACATGGCATTTTCGGTTTCCATGCGATTTAAAAGTATCGTTTGACGTATGGCAGTTTTCCATAATTCACGTAATTGCTCACGGGTGCGTTTACCTTTCTGGGGATCTAGAATTGAAATACAAAGCTCTTGAAATATGGATTCGCTTTTAAACTTTTTCCACTCATACTTACGTGTTATGCGCATGGGTGACAAGTACTCGCCTTGTTCAGTGTTTTCTAAACCTTTTGAAGGAGTTACTACGCTATTCAATATTGCTTGACGCCAAGAGCCTTGATGGGCTTCCGTTTCCTTGGGACTATTACCAACTTTAAGAAATCTTTAAAAAGAATCCGAAAAGTTCGAGATAAACTTTATGCTCCGATAAATGCAATCGTTTAGTATTTTACTTACATATCCATCATGGGGCTTTTTAGTTGATCAGCGCTCGGCTTACATGGACTAGAACCGATAGTATTAGAACGGGATCGAAAGCCTTCTGGTGGTGTCTCTGTTCCACTGCTTTTCAATGGTTCAGCGGAACTTTCCCTGACATTTTGTTCTTTTATGGTTAGGGCTGTTAGTGAATTATTGCCAACGTCATCTTTAGAGGCTTTTCGCTTTAATAAATGATCAAACGAATTGGTCAAGGAACGCTTGGCTTTCATGAATATCGTACTGCCTCCTAAATATTGATTCAGAAATTCCGTTCTATTTTCGGACGTATCGTGGACATGTCTCTGTTGTCGCGATTCACAATGAGCTCTTAACAGCATCATTACAAATTGATTTTGCTCGGCTAAAGGTGAGTTCATCTTTTCCGAGCCGTAGAATTTAGCCCATATTATATCTTGTTCATCGTCGCTTAAGGACTCTATGCGACGAAAGATCATATTTTGCGTCTTCTTCTCACTTAAACCTTCGACATCAGTGCAAAGCTTATGATACCACAACATAGGGCAATGCTCACACGAGAAGATCTGTGAAGCCTCTTTCCGTTTCTGTTCGGCGCACGTGACAAAAGCTTGTGATATGGCAGCCACAATATCATCACAAACATGATCGGATTGACACTTGAACACGTAGCCGATGTAACCTTCATTGTGAGCTTCGCGACAAATAATACCGAAATGATCGGCATTTTTTTGACCCTGAGCACAACTGGCCACATCTTTGAAGTCCTTATAAAGTAACACTTGCTTGCGATCAGGTGAAATCAAACGTAAATCGGAACGTCCCACCAGAAAAACCATAGTACGATTTTGTTCCACGTATGGCGGTATGCAGCCATATGAGGCTGAACGATCACGTTGCCGTGGTATGCTAATAAAAAACAAATTATATAACGTAATTTTCATGTAAATCCATGCATGGAACGGCATAAAGTTTTTGTGTACACTTTTCAAGGAAGTGAATAAAAATTTCAAGCATTCACAATAGAAAATAAATAAAATCATCTAAGAAATGAATTACTGGATACAAGAGTAAATCATAAGGAGTGAAAACAAAGAAAATTAAACGTTGTGCAAGTTTTGGACCAAAGAAAACTGCTTGATTACTAATCAGGCACGGAGGGAATCATGCTGGGTAGTTATTAGCTTTACTCACTTATCTAACGTTTGTTGATTTTGTTCACTTGTCTCTCTTTCTTGTTGTTGTTGTTGTTGTTGTTGTTGTAGTTCTTCTTCTTCCCCTTCTTCACCCTCCTGGCGAGGCGGTGAAGGATGTTTATTAATAATAACATTGCTATGCGCAGATTTTTCACTTTCCTCTTTGTCGTCAGTTTTAACGTTAACTCTGCTGACGAGGAGCGAATATTAATTGAAGGACAAATATAAAAGGTAATCGCAAAAAAATGCTGCCTAAGTATTTCAATTTGTTATTTCAAAAGGTCTTTTTAAAACCTTTTAAGACTCCCTTTGGATTTAGCGGACTTGCTTATAGAAACTTGGGTTTTTTCACCGTGAACTATTGTACACTTTGCTGAGAAAAGCCAAGAAGTTCTATCCCAGGAAAAATTTTGGATACAGGCAAAGGCATAGAAATCTACCTCGATCTAGGTCCATGACCTCGTTTTCCATTTCGTATAATGCGGGAAACCGGTGAACTTATGAAGCAGAAGTACAACCAACACAGACAGTTTTTTTTCGAAGAACTTCTAAACAGCGCTATATGATTTGGAAGAGCGTTGTTTGCATAAAAAGAAGTAAAAAGACTGTAGTGGGCCACGGCCCATCATTATATACACAAAAAATCCTATAATTATATAACGACTGCTCAAAACAAGACGTCGTATAGGAAGTTGTCGTAAAAGTGGTTCGATCCATTCGAACCATTTGGAATAGCTTTCGGCCTGGGCCAAAAACCCTTCTATGTGCCAAACTTTTTCAACATATTGCAAAATTTTCTCCATTCTAGGTTGAAGACAAGAAAGCGACACAGACTGACAGACGGACAAGCTTAGATTGATTCAGAAATTCTGATTCTGATTCGATCGGTGTAACGAAAGGTGGATTTATCTGAAGTTCTTCTAGATATTGCACACATCCGCACAATCTTAATATAGCTTTGCACCACGAGTGGTGTAGAGTGTAAAAAGCATATTTTCTCATTAACTAATGAATTCATTTTCATTCATTTCAACGCGTACGTCGTGTCCTTTCATCATCAAAGTAAAGTTGTGCAAAGTGTAATTTCATTAACCAATCGACAGTTGATGAATTTCACCGAATGATAAGAAATTATCTCCCTATGAAAGGCAAGAATGTCAAATATAACTAAATTGCGAACCTTTTAAGTGACATTCTTCATTCAGTCGTCACATTCGGGCGAACACATGGCTTTGAGGATAGGGAATAAGAATAGTTGGAACTATACAAACAAGTCAAGTAATTTGAAGAGGAAAAATTATATTAGAGTGACATAATCCATATGAGCGTGACATTCGAGGGAATACGTGAAATTCAGATTAAGAATGATCCGGAAGGTGACGAAAAGGTCAAATAGTTTCACCCCAAAATTGCATTCATTATGCAAGTGAAGCCACCGCTTACCAGGAGAAGGAAAAAGTTACGACGTTGAAAGGCGATAGGATCTTGGCATGAAAGGAAGATTTTGTTTGGGTACAGGTAATGGCAGGGACAAGGTAAAGCTCCAAGAGAATTTCAGATTAATTTCAAAAGCCTTCAGATACACAATAGGGATCATCTAGTTTTCATACCCAGCACCGAAGAAGGACGGGGAATATACTCATTTTGCCAAAACGCTTGCAATGCCCAGAGACAAGCTCCAGACATGCCACAAAGTATATGTTTTCCCGGTCAGCATTAAATTCTAAATCGATTTAAACATGTCCATCTGTCCATCTATGTAATGTCGGTTGTAAACATTTTCCTGGACGCAAAAGAAGCTGTTGCACGCACGTTGGTATAGAAAGCGGGTTAAATCGGGGAAAGGATAGGCCTATAGTACCACGTTAACTGAGAATACCTCTGTTTTTCAAAAGAAATAAAAAATTTGTATTGGTGTTTAGCACATTACTGGAAAAAATTTATTACGCCTAACCGATATTATAGAGTATCAAAATGTAGTTTTTTTTCAATTAATGCGAATGCCAAGCTTCAAGTAATCTCCTATAAAGCACAGTAAAATAAGGTTCTTGGCTACTTTCAAATTTAGAATGGAGCTAAGCACATCCGTTTGTTTGTCTGTCCATCTGTCCAACTGTAAACTATCTGTGGGAAACATTTAAGAAAAGAATTTGAAAATGCCCCAAGCCGGTCAAAGGTCACGCCTGCAACGCCCGCACGGCTATGCAATAAAAGCTGGAAACATTTTGCTTTTTGTGTGTTTTTGCTCGTGTCTCGTAAACTATAACACCCCATATATATTTCCGCTTTTATTCTGAGAACAGAAAAAATCAGCCGAGCCAATCCTTTTGTTAAATCTTTTTTAACATAACGATAATGAGTATAAAAGAATCGGTCACGAGCGAATGTAATTTTCTTACTGGTTTCTCTATCAAACGTAGACTCTTAGAGACACGCACACATGATCCGAATTTAGAAGAAAACTGAAAGCGTGATTAATAAAGTATAATTTGACAAATAGAAAGAGTAACTGTCTTCCGTGTTGACTTTACGATTTATGTTGTGATTATAAGATTTGTAAACTTACTCTCTCTTTAATGATAATTCCATTTGACTTATGCCTCTCATTAGCTTTGCCGGTGGTGATTTATTCTCCGTGTTATTGCACAAGACCTTGTTTTCCGCTTCTGTTTCTGCTTCTGCTGCTGCCTTATTAACACCTGAGGATGAGTCCAATTCATCTTTTTCGGTTGCATTGCTATCCTTATTCGCCAAATTTTGTTCTTTGGTTAATAATTCCTCAGCCTCTTCTTCATCTTCTTCCTTAACTTCGTTACCTTTCAAAGGTGAATTTTTTAATTCTAAAGCACCCGGGGTACCAACGAAAGCGCCTTCACTGTTTAATGACATTTTACGATTAGTTGCAGATATTTGCATTAGACGAGCACGTTGAGCATCATAAGCTTTGAATTTGGGTAAAGCATCATCTATGAAAGTATAGGGTACACGCTTATGCGAAACACGTATTTTCCCTACATACATAACCTCAAAAAAATGTGTATGATTTGGCGAAATATCAGCCAATAGGGAAAGATTGCTCTGAGCTGAGGTAGAAGTCGGAATGTGTACCTAAAACAAAAAAAAAAATTATGAAAATTTTTCATTTATACAATTTTATATATTATATGATTAATTGTTTTATACCGTTCCTGCGGAATTACTGAGACCATGGGTATAGGATTTCGAAGATTTCATTTTCGATGAAACCAAATTTGGACTAGCATCATGTTGAGCATTGCGTAAAGCTTCGCTTAGTTTCAAATTTGTGGCTGGCGTTGTATGTATACCATTGCCGGCAAGTGCCTTCTGCAGAGATAGATCCGGTCCGGTACCGCTACTATTTGCTACCAAAGTTTGCGGTATACTCCCAACTGAACCGCCCAATGTATGGGCAGGATCACGCATTTGTTGCATTAGCTCAGCCATCTGTAAGCAGAAAGGCAAAAAAAAACAAAATTTTTATTTCAAATGGTTTCCATAAACCAAGTGGCCTACTGAGGGTGTATGGATTTTCAGCTACCAATTGCACGCTATTGCACGCACATATTAAGGTTAAACAATATATAATTTATGCTAATTTATCCTGCGAGAGATCATGTAAAATAATTTACTATAATTGCTTTATTAATGATTTGTACCTTATTCACTCGCCCAACTTCTATTACAACAATTAATTAGGTTACACATCATCATCACCATCATCAACAACAACAACAACAACAACAAGAATCATTATTAGCAAATATTTGAAAACATACTTCTAAACGTATGCTCAGTTTGTTACGCATCTTCTGCAAAAGGCTGAATTATGCTAAACAATGTTGAGCCTGCTATTGAATAATTAATATTTAAGCATACATTCGCTCTTTCCCTTTCCCTTTCCCTAACCCTTTTTTTTTCTCTTCCTCTTCTTTCTATATCACGCAATAGAATAGGCTTAGGTTTCATATTCTAGTCATAGGAGAAAGGTGTTGATTGTTTCTATTTGGAAATGTGGATAAGCGCCGTTGTGCGTCCTATATGCACGCAAGTTTAATTTGCAAAGGATTATTTTATATATTATTGAGAATTTTTACACCCTGCACCGCTTGTGGTCCAAGGGTGTATAATGTTGGAGCAGATATATGCCAAACAAAAAAAGGGTATGAAATAGACCCAACCTTCATTACACGGAATCGTTCAGAATCACTTTTATTTAAGCTCGTCTGTCCCTCTGTTCAACTTGTTTTCTTTTATTCAAGCTATAACTCCTAATTTTTGACCTAAGGAGGAACTCTATTAGAAATTATTAGGATGGGACCACCACTGCCCATTTAAAGCCTTGTTTTGAAGAGCCCGTTATATGAGTAAGTGTATAAAGCGGGACGGTAATGGTGAGCCGTGTATCATTTATATGACGATAGACCCACTTCTCATTATACCGATTGATTCAGATTCACTTTCCGGCTTGTCTGTTCGTCCGTCCGTCTTGTCTTCTTGTCAACACACTGAACGTAATTTATGCGATATTTTGAAAAAAATTGGTTATAACCACGTGTTTTAACGCAAGTGGCCGCTAGTTTTCTCATGTTTCATTCCCAAGGGCGGTCTTTAGGTCATTGCAACTATAAAAAAGTGGCTATCAGAAGCAGTTATATGTCTGGCAAATACAGCCACACATACATATCAAGCTCTCTGCTTTTATTCTTTCCTTAAGGAGCTTAACAATATGTGGCCCAGGTCTGTGCTTTCGAGAAATCAACTTATCGGAGTATTTTTTTAAAGTTCGACTTTTTTCAATAAATTGTTATTTTGTTGACAACTTTTTAATATATTAATGCAAAACATAAGCTTGGAATATAGACCTATGAACTGTTGCAGAGCTAGGAGCTTTCATTTCCGGATTTTTATTGTCTCTTTCCTATAGTGCAGATGACGATCACAGAACTTTAGTTCGTTGGGAAATTTCCCATTTTCTGTTTTATTTTCAATTCGAGTCCCCAGTGCACGGCTACAAGCTTATAATAAACTTTGCTGTTTTTTGAACTGCATAGGCCCATATATGGAGCAACATCAGAACTCATAAAGCAATCACGAGTAATTTTTTTCGTGTTTCTCGTGACAAAATAAATATTAATTCGAAAGTTTTGTTGTGACTGTTGCTGCCGTTCATATGCTTTTTCTTCTTGCGACTAATGGTCGGTCACAATCCCGGAATGCGGGAATCGCATCTTGGAGCAGTGAACATTCGATTCGAGTGTAGCAATGAGTTCATTTCTTACTCATTACCATGCGAAGCAAACAGCACTACCCTCGATAGCTTCTTTATCAGCGCTTCACGTATGTAAGTTCCTTCAATAACTTGCTTAACAGTCTCTCATGTATCTAAAAGTGAATTTGCACGTCATCTTGAAGTCTATTCATGATCTTCTTTGCTTTTTAGTTAACATAAAAATGCTTTTGCATTCAAAGTTCATTGAAGATTTCCTAAATTTACCGACATTATGGACTGATAAAAGACAAAAGGCGAACAACTTTCATTATTAGTTTATGCACTTGGTGATGCAAATTATGTGCTTATGTGCTACATAAGAATAAATATTTATTTCTCACTGACAGGCAAGGAAGTTGTCATATACATTGGCATTAGGTTTATTTTGTTATGATCGGTGAAGGTATTAAGTAAATGTTTATGCGAATTGTTTAGTGTGAAATGTAAACGAAAAAGTACGATGCCTTTCGATAAAGGCACACCTCGCCAACCTTCATTTTCAATGATTGTATTCTCTCAAAGCCCATTCTGCATGAATGTTATTCATTTCGTTTTGCAAGAATTCAGACAAAAAGTTAATTGATTGGCACATGCAGAAGTTTTTTTTTTCTTTTTTTTTTTTTGATAAGGATATCTATCTGCCTTTCCTTTGTTTTTCTCAAAGTTCGCTTTGATTTTTAAGATACGCTAAGATACGAAATTTCTCTTATTGAACTTCGTCTGGGGCAATGGTAATTGGAAGTGGTTTAGGTCTTGTGGCAATCCGAGCCACGGCTTTAAAGCTTTGTCGCAAGAGTAGCCGAACGGGTAAGTATCGTGGCTATCAAGTCAGTGTCCGGGTGTTCACATTTCAGTGCGATAGAGTTTACTTTGGGCATGGCTGTAGTGAATATTCGTTCAATCTGTAAAGACATAACGTTCACGGATTGGGGCATACATCCACCATGCTGCCCCTTATCTTCTTCTCTCTTCACTTCATTGCCGCGTTAGACGAATAAGGGAGGTTCAATTGGTCGTATTAAAAAAAATATATATATGTATATATATATACCAGTTATGTGGCGAGCAGCCTAATCTGAGAAAGTTACTTAATAACCTAGAGTTTTTCTTTGCTCAAGCACTTTGCACAAGGACGGACATCATCGTCATGCAGAAGGAGTTAAGTTAGGCCCGCTTTCTACTGTACCGAGCAATTTAGAATTACTTTCTGAATTAATCTAAACTTGTCCGTTCGTCTGACTGTCCTGTATTCTTGCGTTCAACCTACAGTGCGGCATTTTTGAAAAAATTTGTCGTCGTTTTGTCTCAAAGGCTGATCGCTATTGCATATTACCGGAATCGGACAACTATATTTCCTTCACTTTCCCTTATTTTGAAAAGTCGTTATATAAATAACTACTGATAAGCCCCGTCCTATTATAGTGTTTTCAGTTATGTTGTTATGCTAGTTTTCTGAATAGATTTCAGCTTGTCCGTCCGTATGTCCAAGTTCTTTTTTGGACGTATTTTAGCCCAAAAGCGAACGGCTATGAAAATGAATCGACTCGAACCACTTCTTCGATTATGGCCCATATAACGAAGCCATTTGAAAAAAAATTTTTATTTACAAAAATTTGCAAATTTTTTTGCTTTTCGACGAGAAAAGGGTAAATAATATATTATTTTTTTTGGCCTAGGAAGCAAATGTGAAAAATTTGGATGAGTGAGTGGGACGATTTATTAGGCTCCATACATTTATAAACGGTTTTGCTAGAAGTAAACAACGTAATCCAGGGTTTAGCATTCTACGACGATATATATTTCAGAAAAATGATTTAGTATATACATTTGCTGTTATATAGGGCCATATGAGGCCTTTGAAAGGTAGGGCTTCATATGGTAATTAAGGTCGAATTCTTAGCACTTTAAGAAGAAAAGAGGCTTAAAGAATAACAATATTCGCTGCTAAAAAAATTTGCATTTCCTAAATTTGGATCAAGTCAGTTCATGTTTGAGATCCCTAATGAGGACTGCATTGGCAAATAAGCCTTTACTAGGAAATAGGTCGCAAATTTTTAATATTTTTCTCTTATCCTTCTAATTGTCCTATCAGTTATCCTTTCAGTTAACCTAAATAAGAAACGAAGCTGAAGCTGAGTTGGTAACGGTTGGCCTTGCTCCTCTATAAGTCTTTTGCTTTTTTTATTTTTATTGCTTTTATTTATGAATTGAAAGTGGGTTAAACTAACTATTCTTTACCTCATTTATACAAATTCTACAAAGAAAAATATAAATGTTAAGTATTAAAAAAAAAAAAAATCAGCGTAAGTCGATCAAAACGTCTACATAGTTTTTTTTTGTTATTATTTTATATTTTTAACAGCAACAACTAAATCTCTTTATTAATGGATTTAAGTTGTTTATGTTTTTTCAAAACAAACATTTATTTACGCATATATTTGTAGGTGATTGTACATACAAACATACGTGGTTGTGACGTTCAGAAATTCAAAACGAATAGTGAATGCCCACCGGTTCAAGCAAATATATAAACAAAAACGCCATGCTTTGCACTGATTTCTGACTCATAATCCCGCTCGTCGAGTTTTTCGACGGACTTGCGAAATATTTATCGGCGATTATTCCGATCATTAACTGCTAAACTATTTTTTTTTTTTTTCTTAATCTCTTCAGGAAGGGATTTTGTCCTCTATTTTTTTATTTTTTTATTTCTGTATCCCATTAGTACCGTGTTTAGTGTATCAAGCCATAAGCTGCGCATTTCTCTATTTGAATAACAAATTTGTTCCGCTCTTCCTAACGAAAGGGATAATATAATGCAAAAAAATCGAAACATTTACTTATGTGGCCAAAAATATCAAGAGTTTAAAGTAATTTTTGACAGAATAAGTTTCACGATCTCGGGAAAATAGACCAATTTACTGGTGGATAGACAAGGATCGCAAAATTGACTCTGAATCTTATTTAGGTAAAAAATATTCACATATATATGTATTATGTCAGGTTTTTATTGGCTCTGAAGTACATTTTAATGGTTTGCAAATCGAATGAAAAATTTAATATACTTTTGTCTTTAGGTTTGTGCGTGTAGTAATAGTGGTAATAATTTTAAAAGTTTCCATTACGTACAAGGTATAAAAAACATTTAAATGCATTTGAGTGGCTTAAGACTTGT